TATTTATTTATTTATTTATTTATTTATTTATTTATTTATTTATATTTTATGGGGGGATCTTTTTGAGACAGGGTCTCTCTGTAGACCCAGCTGTCCTGGAACTATGCAGACCAGACTAGCCTTGAACTCACAGAGCTCCACCTACCTCTGCCTCACAAGTGCTGGGATTAAAGGCATGCACCACCATGCCCAGCTTTATTTTTTAGTATATGTGTATTTGAGTTCACATATATGTGGGTACACATGTATACATGTGGAGGCCCAAGGTTGACATTAGGGGTCTTCCTCTATGACTCTCTACCTTTATTTTTGAGGCAGGGCCTCTCAGTTAACCCAGAGTTTGCCAGCAGGACTAGTCTAGCACTACCTGGCTTCAGAGATCCTGTCTCTGCCTCCTCAGTGCTGGGATTATAGGCATACTCCACACTCTAGTCCTTATGCCTGTGCCCACTGAGCCATCTCTCTAGCCCTGAAGTGCATTAAAAATTGGCCAGGTAAGGTGGTACATTAAAAATTGGCTGGGTGTGGTGGTAAACTCCTTTAATCCCAGCGCTCCGGAGGCAGAGGCAGGCAAATCTCTTGAGACCCGAGGCCAGCTGGGGCTGCAGGGAGACCCTGTCTCAAAAAGACAAAAGAAATTTTTAATTACAGTTTTATTTATTGTGTATATGTGTATGGGTGTGCTGCAGCCAGAGTACAACTTGTAGGAGTTGGTTTTCTCCTTCCACCATGTGGGTCCTGGGGATTGAAGTTAGAGTGTCAGACTTGGCAGGAAGTGCCTTTAACCAGCTGAGCCATCTCAATAACTGACCAGTCAACATGCATTTCTTAGTGAAGTTTAGAGAAAGGTTAGTAAATTTTTCACAACATAGTGTTCACAAGTCTTTGACAAGTTATTTCCCTCATATATACTGAATATAAAGTATTATGCCAGATACTGTGGGAACTGAACTAGTAAGTTGTAATTGTCAAAGCTCTATTTTAGACTTAAAATGCAATCTAGAAACTATCACATTTTACCTGGCCTCTGTATTCAATTGAAAATAGTATTTATTGGTTGCTTTTTGTATGTTGTACACGATATTAGGTGTTTGATTTTATTAAATATAAAAAAGTTAAATTCACTGTAGTTGGAAGTATTCTGTACTTAGATAAGTCATTGCTACAAGAGACTAAGGATGCTTTGTTTAAATTTTTTTCATTTATATATACATGTACATATGTAATCTATGTATACGTACTGGAAGTATTTTAATAATATAAACTTACGAGGAAGCATTCTGGTATGTGACCTTTGAATAGTACAGGTATTGTTTTTTATTTAGATCCTGTCAGTAACTGGTAACATTTGCTTTGAGCTTTTTTATAAACTGATAGGAAAAGAATTGTGTTATATAGCTTTGTCATAAGTGAAAGACTTGAGTTCTTTAGAAATTTTTCATAACATAGTATCTAGAAAGTGTTTGCCAAATGGATATTTATTTGAACAGCCAAAGATGGTTGTCGCCATTGTGCTTACATGTATTCATGGTGCCCTTTTATTGTTGGTCTTTCACATAAATTGAGTGAAAGCATTTCTGTGGGGGAATTAACCTAATTAAAGAAATATTTTTGAGAACTCAGAAAAGGGGCTAATGTAGGTATTAGAGTTCTTAATTTCCTTTGAAAATGTCCTTTCATAGTATTAACCCAAGTGCTGCAGCACTTAAACAAAAGAAGGCAAAACAAATAGATTTGTGCCCTATTCCTGTCTTCAGGATTGAAATGTCGAGGGATGCACTTCCTGAGAAGGCTTGTCAGTTGGACAGTCGTTATTGGAGAATAACAAATGCTAAAGGGGATGTAGAAGAAGTTCAAGGACCTGGAGTAGTTGGTACGTAATCCAAAATTTAAGTTTATCAGTTGTTTCAAAGGAATTTTAGACTTTGCATCTATAAATATAATTTGTAGAAGTCAATATCCTATCATTATAATCCCTGAAATGTTAGCTTTTCTAAAACTATGGCAAACTCATTCAGGAGTTCAGGAATAGATATCTCTTTCCATGGATCACCTGGGGGTCCTTGATTATTCTTGTGTTCTTTATTTTTCTAAACTTGCTGTTCATTATTCTGGGAGTTAGATGGTATAGGACAGAAAGAAATAAATTTCATATTGGTAATCTTAAAGTTTGGGGATAGATGTTCAAATTAATAGCAGAGGTTAATTCTTCCTTATTATTGGTGTGTGTGGGGGGCTACATGCCATGGTGCGTATGTGGAGGTAAGAGAATAACTTTGTGGAGTCAGTTTCTCTTTCCTCCTATATGTGGGTTCCAGGAATTGAACTCAGGTCATCAGGCTTGCATTCACAGGCAGCAAGCACCTTCATCTATCTTGATGGCCCAAATAGCATAGATGCTTATTGTTTGAATTTAATTTACTTTAGTTCTAGTTACCATTAGCATTAAACTTTTTTGGAGGGGGTGTCTTTTTGAGACAGAGTCTCCCTGTAGTCCCAGCTGGCCTGGAACTTGCTGTGCAGACCAGGCTGGCCTTGAACTCACAGAGATCTACCTGCCTCTGTCTCCCAAGTGCTGGGACTAAAGGCATGCACCACCATGCCCGGCAACATTAAACTTTAAAAAAAAAAAAAAAAAAAAAAGGAGTATTATACATTTCTGAACTGTCATCTTTGAATATGTACTTTAGGAAAACAGAAAATAACATCTAAGGCATGTACTTCTGTATCAGGACTAAGCATATACAGAATTCAGTTTGTGGGGTTTTGTTGTTGTTTTTAGTGGTCCTGGAGATGATGAAGCCTAGGGCTCTGCTTGCTAGGCAGGAGCTCTACACTGAGCTACATCCAGTCATTTGTTCATTTGTTTTTTCCATTTCTTATTTTGAGAGAGGGTCTTCCTAAGTTGTCCAGACAGGCCTGAAACTCTCCATTCTCCTCGTTTTCCCATTTCTGAGACTATAGCCTGTACCACCAACCTGACTAAAGTTTCTTAATCCATTGCCACAAATAGATTCATAATGTATATGTTGCTTTAATGACTTTTTCTTGAACTTTCTTGAGAATCTCTTGCTGAGGAATTTTATTAAAGCTATAATTCTTTTTTGTCATTTGATCCATTGGTATAAATACTCTCCATTGTGACTGACATTTTATCTGGTCTGAATACTTGTAATACAAATTTACAACCATTTCTTTTAGTCTCTTGTTGCTGTTACAGGCAATCAAATTTAACTGTCTCAACTGAGTCACTTTCTGTGTCTTAAAGATTGTGTCAACTTTGAAAAAAAGTATCTTTTAAATTTTGTTTTACTAGATAATACCCCCCCCACACACACACACACATACACCTGCAACATTGAAGAGAGTTTGAGGAATACAGAAAAAAAAAGTCAAGGGCTGGTGAAATGGCTCAGCTGGTGAAGGTACTTCCCACCAAGTCCCTGGAACCCACATGGTTGGAGGAGGGAACCTACTCCCACATGTTGTCCTCTGACCTCCACGTGCATGCACCATTCCCTCCCAAGTAGATAAATGTTAGAAAACTGAAACAAATGTCAAGAGGAATTAAATACTCATGATCTCATTGCTGTTACTATTTTGTTGTATCTTCTTTTAGGTTTTTGTTTTTTCCTAACTGCATATTCACTTTCAAATTACTTATATAGTAGCTTAGAGAACATATTTACTATAAAGAATATATTTTGGTTTATGTTACTGTTTTTTTCTACAGGTGAATTTCCAATCATTAGCCCAGGTCGAATATATGAATACACTAGCTGCACCACATTTTCTACAACATCAGGATATATGGAAGGATATTATACTTTCCATTTTCTGTACTTTAAGGACAAGATTTTTAATGTTGCCATTCCTCGATTCCACATGGCATGTCCAACATTCAGGGTGTCTATAGCACGATTGGTAAGTTAATTTTTCTCCAGTCCTGAATTATGTGGTTTTGTAGAGTTACTCCAAAAACAAAAGAGAAAAAAAAACAAAAACAAAAAAAACCCTTTTTTTAGACAGACAAGTGATTTATAAATGATGTTTCAGAAACCCTGAACATTTTGAGGATCTCAGGGGTTGTATTAATACATAGAGGGAGATGAACAATAAATTTATCTAAGCTCCCTATTCTTTAACCAGAGAAACTCTACTGGTAGCTGTTTTAAGGATTAAAGTTCTTTTCCACTGGTCCTAACAATAGTTCTGTGGCCTAAATGTATATGAGAAAGGACCAAGCAAAACCAGTTAAAATTGACTTTTTTCATTAAGACTTGGGGGAGAAATTTCTTACAGTGTTTTTTGCTAAAATTCCCAATTTAGTAAAACACATATTGTATAGATATTACAGAGAATTTATTGAGTGAGCACATACTTTTAGCAGTCTCTCTGTGATCATTTATCAAGTCAACCAGGTATATTTTAAAAATCTTGTTCTTAGGGTTACTTTGTGACAGGTACAACAGTAACCCTAATCTTAGGGATTGTAAAATGATTAAGCAAAAAGTATGAAGCTCTATGTTCTGTAATAGGAATGAAATGTGACTAGTATATTCAGAATGTACCCAAGCTATAGTAATCGAGTGATTTGAAAAATGCCCTTTGGGTTTGAGGTAAGTCTGGAAAAAATGGATAAACTATTAATTAATCTGACGGAAAGATGACACAGTCTCAGCTCTGGTTTGGAAAGAAAAAGATGATGTGCTTTTAGGCCCCTATACTTGTAGTATGGTGAAAAGGACCTAAAGTTTTAGCTTTCTTCCCAGTGGAATAATGCTAGAAACTGTCTTCTCAGTATAGAGAATTTGACACTTCCTGTATTATATTTAAATTTTCTTTCTTGTGGGAGTTGGGAAGCTTGAGATAGGAACTCATTGTGTAGCCCAGACTGGCCTGAAGCTCACTATCTTCTTGCTGTAGCCTCCCAAATGCTAGGATTACAGGTGTGCATCAACATGCCTACGCCAGGCCAGACTTCTGGCTAGCCCCTTATCTCTATGAGCTTGTTGTGATCTTATCCTTAAATGGTTGATATTCAGCAGTGAAGCTATCTGGGATTGGAGTTTTCTTTGGGGGAGGAATTTTAAAGATAGATTTAATTTCTTTAATAAGTATATTTTCTATTTCTTGTTTCAGTTTTGGTAATTTGTGCCTTTCAAGGAATTTATTCATTTCATCTAAATGTTGAATTTATTGGCCTAAAGTTATTCACAGTATTCCCTTGATATCCTTTTAATGGCTATAAGATCTGTAGTCAGATAGCCTCTTTTATTCTTAATTTTGATACTTTATCTTTTTATCACATTTTCACTTTTATTGATCATTCGAGGGAACAACATTTAGTTTTTGCTGATTTTTATCTGCGTTGCTCTTTTTCTATTTTGTTGATTTCTGCAGCTGCCTTTATTTCTCTCCTACCATGGGTTTAATTTGCTTTTCTTGTAGCTCTTTAAGGTAGAAGTTTAGGTTGTTGATTGTAGACCTTTCCTGTTTTTAAGCACTGTTTTATCTGTATTTCACAAATTTTGTTTTGGTTATGTTATGTTTTTGTTAACATTTAGTTCAAAATACTCTCACATTTCCCTTGTAACTTTGACTTAGGACTTTTCATTGAAATATTTTAGTTTCCAAACATTTGGGAATTTTTCAGTTATCTTTTGTTTATTGATTTCTAATATCGTGGTTAAAGAACTGTATTTCTAATATTTTTAAATGTTTCATGGCTCCAAATTATGTGAAGAATCTATACATTGTAGTAAATGATCTTTGTGTATTTGAAAAGAATGTATATTCTGCCATGTGAGAGAATTTATTCTATAAACAACAGGCCAAGCTGGTTGATTGGTTGGCAGTGTCTTATTGCTCTTTCTAAAATCTTGTTCTATCAACCATTGAAGAGATTTTTGAAATTTCCAATTGATATTATGGCTTTGTCTGTTTCTTGTTTTATTCCTGTCATATTTGCCTGGTGTATTTCGAAGTTTTATAACTGTGTGCACATATGCTTAGGATTGTTACATCTTTTTAAGGAAGTGGTTCTTTGATCATTGTTCAATGTCCCTCTTCATCTCCAATAACATTCTTTGTCCTAAAGTTTAAAGAGCATTGAAGTATGATTTGATTGGCAATGGAGTTGGATCAGCTTGATCTTTTTGATGCTTGTTTCTAATATTTGTTACAGTGGGTGTAAAGTATAGTTTTTACTTAAGGACAGTGGTTCTTAAGTATTTGTCTCGTTACCTCCTTAAAATTCATTGAGGACTCATAAGAACTCTTGTTTTTGTGGGTTATATTGGTATTTAAGTTATTAGAAGTAAAAATCAAGAACATTTATAAGAGTATCACTTCCTTTTAAAGTTATAATAAACCCATTTCATGTTCAATAATCTTTTAACTATGTATTTATTTATTTAGTTTTGTTTTCTGCTTAACTATAAGAAAAAATAGTTGACCTGCCTTACAGAAAATGTTTTCTGTCAAGGATGAGGAGTCATTAAAAGGAATGAGAATTGTAGGTTATTTCTTGGATTTTTTATCATTTATTTTAAAAAATTGAGGGTTTTTTGTTTTGTTTTTTGGGTTTTGGGGGGGTTCTTTTGTTTTGTTTTGGTCTTTTTGAGACAGGATCTCCCTGTAGCCCTAGCTAGCTTGGAACTTGCTATATAAACCAGGCTGGCCTCGAACTCAGGGATCTGCCTGCCTCTGCCTCTCGAGTGCTGGGATTAAAGGCCTATACCACCAAGCCTGACTTTATTTTAAACATGTAAAAAAAAGTTTTTGTTTGGTTTTTGTTTTTGGTCTCCCTGTAGCCCCAGCTGGCCTGGAATTTGACCAGGCTGATCTCAATCTTGCAGAGAGATCCACCTGCTTCTGCCTACTGAGTGCTGGAATTAAAGGCATGTATGGCCATGCCTGGCTATAGACTTGTTTCTAATGGACATTTTTAAAAAAGCAAGGGGGTTATATCTTTTGACCTTTCTTATTTCTGTTAGTATTCTTGATATGGAAGTTGAATCAGTTTTCTTCCTTTGCTCTTTACCAGTCTTATTAATTACTAGACTTAATAATTCCTTTTCCTTTTTATTTGCCTCTGTAAAATATACTTTTGGTTAGTCTAAGGCTGTTTCCTATGTGGGGTGTTTATGGTGCTTGCTTGAGGGCACTTGTTGCTCATTTATGTCCACGATTCTTTGTTCCTCTTCCCATTAGCTGTTTGTATAATACACTTTTATCTGAGTATTTCTCTGTAGCCACATTTGATTCCTTTGGCAGTTTTGTTTTCATTAATATAATAATCATACTACCTGAAGATCATATTTTAGAATTTTCAAAACTTTCCCCATCTCACCTTTTCTACCTCCTACAGAATTTTGAAGTCTTCATTCCTTAGCTAAAAACAAAAAACAAAAAACCCCAAAGATACAAATAGTGAAATATATGTGACGTCGGTGTGTATTTTGTTGTTGTGTTATAATAAACCCTAAATGACACAGTTCTTTCTCTGTTTCATTTGCTCATTCAACAGATATCTGAGTTCTGTAGTAAACAATTGAATCAAAATCCCTGCCTTGGACTTTATGCCACAATTGTTAAAGATAAACTGTAACACTGCCTTTGTGTCAAGTAACACGTGCCATGGAGAAAAATCAGGGGGTAAAAGGAGAATCCTGCTAGCTTGTAAATATAAAGATGTGTCAGGAAAAGCCTTGGGGACATGTGAACTGAGGCATAAAAGGAATGGAGGGAGCCAAGTCCATGTGTAGAAGAATATTCAGCCAAAGAAGCATCTAGTGTGAAGGTCCTGATGCAATTATGCTTTGTTTGAACCAAGGAGGCCTGTGTGACTAAAGTGCAGAGAACAAAGGGGAACAGTAGTTGGAGAAGAAATCAGAGTAGCAAGTCTAGGATACATCAAAGCCTGTCTAAAAAACCAACAAAAACCCACCAAACAGCAAAAAGCCTCAGAGGGACAGTGGGGTAAAAAACCATTGGGGAAGAACTTTTGTTGGTTTTGTTGGTGGCATGTACTAAGTTTCCCTATACTTCTCAGATTACCAGCTGAGATCTGGCTATTCAGATTCTGGCCAATATAGGTACCACTTGTCATTGAGTCATCAGATGTGTAGCCAAGTAAAGCCAAAACTTGATTGGAGACACTTGCTTATGCAAAATGAATTTCCAAGAGATGTTCAGATACTTACTGCATGCTCATCGTTACTGCAGACCTAAGTGTAGAGTCTCTGAGTGAATTTCAATGTAGAGGCTACCTTTTCCCTATAATGTGGGCTGATCTCAGTGATGTACTCTGATGAATCAGCAAAGCTATATTGTGACTGCTGAGGCCTAGTTAGGAAACGGCAATGTGCCGTTGGCCTAGCTCTCTCTCAGAACATGTGCCTTCGGTGCCTTAAGCCACTGTGTGAGAAGTCTGTCTACTATGAAGCAACTGTGCTGGAGAGACTTCACAAGAGCTCTAATTTACAGTGGAAGGAAGTACCCACTTCAGGCTCCTGATGTGTGGATCATCCCAGTCCAGGTACCCATGTGAATGAAGAAGCCCTTGAGGTGATGGTTCCAGGCACCATGCAACTGTGCCATCATGAGAGACTCGAAGCTGGAAGTACTCTGTTTAGTGCTTCCTCTGTACCCAGCCACAGGAACCAGGAGAGATAATAAAGGACTCATTATTTTAAGCAACAAGAAAGTATAATTAAAATGTTCAAAAGTGGATGCTACTGACATTTGAATTAAGATGATATGATTGATAATAGGAACTCAATAAAAATCTTTCAAGCCCTCTTGCTGGCAGTGCATAAAAGTTACTATTGGAGGTCATACCTGATTGATATTTTTACATCCCTTTTCTGTAAACATATAGATAATATGCACATTATGATCAGTAAAACTTTATCTTGGATTGTTAGGAATGATCTTTTACCTCCATATGTGAATTACCAACTACCAGGTGAAGAATAAATACTGTCTTAATGAAATATGCTTACCATTAAAACCATACTGAGCATTACTTAACATGTACAGTATATATATATTCTAGGCTCTGCATCTGCATATATTATGAAATCATACTATTATTCATGTCTGTGAAAACTTGTGTTTGGCATGTCTGGTTATTATAGGCTATGGAAATAGAAGAACCATTAGGTATTCTTCTTATCAAAAGATTGTTTTCTCTTTCAAGGAAATGGGTCCTGATGAATATGAAGAGATGGAAGAGGAGGAAGAGGAAGAGGAGGAAGAAGAAAATGGAGATGACTCAGCAGACATGGATGAATCCGATGAGGAGGAAGAGGAGGAGAGACGGAGGAGGGTCTTTGATGTTCCCATTCGCAGACGCCGGTGCTCACGTCTTTTTTAGTGAGCTGCTGCTGAGGGACGCTCTGGGATTGACTCCATTCTGTTTAGATTTCTCAGTAATGTAAATAATTGTGCCTAGCATATAGCAGGAAATTAGCATGAAACACTGTTCCAGCCCTAGGCTCTACATGATACTTCATAAGGAGTTGGATCATTCTGATTTGCTTTGTGGTTGTGAGGTAAAGGAAAAAATGAGAAGCCTTTTTTTTTTTTTTTTTTTTTCTCTTCCAGGAGTCTATGGAAGAAAAGTTCTCTAGCTGAAGAACAGAAGAGAATTCTTTCTTTAAAAATATTTTCTACTTCAAAGAACAGAAATGGAGAGAATTGTTTTGAATAAGGATTTTTAAATGTAGCAGAAATACCTACACAAGGATAGAAAGAAGCTACGTGACAATGAAAAGACCTCTTTCAGTCATGAAGAAATGAACAAGATTTGTAATTAGTTAATCCACTTAATGATTCTTAATATTTTATACTCACGGGGAACTAAACTAACTTGAATGCAAATAGTTTGCCCTTTCTTAGACAATCTGTCCTTGAGTTTAGTCTTTATCACATAGACCTTGAATTAAAAGTTTTCATCAATACCTTTGATTTAAAGTCTTCAACATAACTTTGAACTTAAGTTAAAGTCCTCATGCTATGACCTTTATCACATTTACAGACTCATTATTTTTAAATGTAGTTTGTAAAAGTATATAGTGTGTTGTTTATTAACAAAGATTCTTCACAATGTCTCATGTAGTCTAAATTTGTAAATACTCTTGTTTATACATTTGTCTAACTTTGTGATAAGTGATCTGAATTTTATGTTAGTGTTAAAGATGTTTTCCTGAAACCTGGGGGGAGGTTTGAGGTTTTTTTTTTTTCCGTCTTTTGTTTGTTTGTTTGTTTTTTTTTCAGTTACATAATTGAGAGTTCGGAATGAATCCTTCAGGTGTCAAACTCACATTTTAAAAACAATTTTTTTTGTTTCAATCCTGTATTTTGTCTACCTGTTTCCCATAAACTAATATTAAGCCTTTGCTCTTCAGCTAGAAGATAGGATTGGTCTTTGTTTTGCAGCCAGAGTATAGCAATCGTCTTCTGGCTTTGTGTTCTCTTTTGTCCCCTATCCATTTTCCTCAAAAACGGTTCTTTGGTAGACTAGGAAGAGAGAGCCATATGTCAAGGCTAAGTGCCTACTGTTTGGGACCATGAAAGCAAACTTACTTTTCATACAGACACATCAGAATATTCAGAAATGGTCAATTATTGTCCCATTTTTTTTCACGTCACAGTACAATCACATACTACATGATGTTGTAACAACAGTTCACATATACAGCAGAGGCCAGCAGCAATCTCATATCTTGTGTATACCACATCTGTTGAATGTATCATTTTCTCTTGTGCTTGCTTAAATTTCATGTTTTGTTCATCATCAACACAAAGCACACACACAAGATCCACTGCTAATGTTGACAGTAAGTTATCAAGTGATTGACCTGGAAGTGAAATTAAAAGTGACTAAGGACTATGAAATGGGAGGGTTCGCTGATGGCTATTGATCACCAGCCATTCCACCGTAGCTATGCCCTCAAAAAACAAGAACAAAGTGACAGAAGCTGCTAGAGGATCTGCTTCAGTGGAGGCAACAAGAAGCGAAAATGCAAGAAAGGTTTGTATCAGATATGGAGAACCTTCTGATGACCTGACTTGAAGACACAAGTGCATCTTAGCACCATGACAATTACCACAAAAGCAGAATTTGTTTACAGCATTGAAAAAAAAAAAGATGACCTCACTAGGATGTTGGAGTTACTGCTAAATCTGGATGGTTTAAAATGATTCAAGAATTGTTATTTATTACAAAATGTGGAAGTGCCTGGTAAGTCTGCAAATGCAGACGTGAAGGTAGCTGAGTAGCTGACTAACTTTTAAAAACTAGATAAGCTGACTGTAGAGGGCAATTGTCAAAGCAAAACTCTTAATTCCATCTAGGTTTGTATAAAGTACACTATGATGTTTGCACAGTGATGAAATCATCAAGCAGTACAATCACCTGATGACTCATTTCTCAGAATGTATCCCCATTGTTAAGTGATACATGACTGTTATCAAGACATCCATATTCTGGTCAGTCTACTTTTTAAAACAGTCAACTATTACCAGGCATGGTGGTGCATGCCTTCAATCCAAGCACTTGGGAGGCAGAGGTAGATGGATCTCTCTGGGATCAAGGTCAGCCTGATCTACACAGTGAGTTCCAGGCCAGGTGGAACTATAGAGAGACCCTGTCTCAAAAAAGTTGTCTTTCATTTGGGCTGCTATAACAAAATACCTCTGATTGTAATTTACAATAGAATTATTAGCCGCCAGGTGTGGTGGCTCACACCACTGGAGAGTCTGAAACTAGCCTGGGCCACAGTGAGAACATATTTCAAAACAAAACCAAGGGCAGATGTGGTAGCATCCTTTAATACCAGGAGACAGAGGCAGATGGATCTCTGAGTTCAAGGCTAGCCAGGGCTACTAGGGAGACCCTGTCTAAATAAAAAACCCTCACAACTCTGCAAACTAAGACGTCGCTGAGGCCTTTTTAAGGGCACTAATCTTATGAGGGCAGAGTCCTCATAACTGAATTATTAACCAAAGGTCCTATATCTTAATATCATTGCTTTGGGGGTTAAGTTTAAACAATGCGTGGGAGGAGAGCACAGATATGAACCTTGCAGACTCTAGCATCAACCCACTTAAAATAGAACTTTCCAAATAAAGCATTAATTAAAAATCAGTTACCATTATCAATTAAAGCGGGACCCCGGATCTCTTGCCTTTTTTTGCAACCCTTTTCTACACAATCCATTCCTAGAGTATTCATGATGCCCAAATCAACCCTTGAAACCCTGCCTACTTTCTGTTCCTCACAATACTTAAGATTGCTTAGCCTCTCAGAATTTGCATGCTCTAGGACTGAAGAGGCGGCTCTGTGGTTAAGTGTTGGCTGTTCTTGCAGAGGACCAGGTTTGAGTCCCAGCACCCCCATGGCAGCTAACGACCACCCCTAACTCCAGTTTCAGGGGCTCTGATACCATCTTCTGACTTTGGGCATTGCATGACCCAAGGTGCACCTACCTACATGCAGGCAATACACTCATACACGTAAAATAAAATTAAATTTTTTTTTGCATTCTGGGCATATTTCAAACTTCACTGTATTTTTTTAAATTTTATTTTGAAATGATTTTTTGTTTGTACAAGTACTTTGATTGCCAGTATGTTTACTAGTATGTGTGTAGTGCCCACAAAGGCTGGAAGAGGGCAACAAAGCTGTCATGTTGGTGCTGGGAATCGAACCTGGGTCCTCTGGAAGAACAGCAAGTGCCCTTAACCCCTGAGTCACTTCTCCAGCACCCCCCTTTAAAAAATTTATGTGTATGAGTGTATTGTCTACATGTAAGTGCATCTGTGTTGTGCAACTCCCACAGAGGTCAAAGAGGACATTGGATTCCCCTGGAAGTGGTGTTAAAGACAGTTAACTGTCCTGTGGGTGCTGGGAACCAAACCCAGGTCCTCTGCAAGAGCAGCCAGTGCTCTTAACCATTGAGCCATCCAGCCCAGCATTACTTTCCTTGGGAAGATAATTTCTGGGGAAGAGGACAGTAACAGACCACAGAAACAATTCCAAGTCTAGCTTGAGCCAACGTATATTAGGGGTTACTTACAGGACCCTGGGTAACCCGCGGCTGCAACACTAAAAAACACACAGAATGGAGCAGTAACCCGGTCCAACCCGAGGAACAACCAATTATTAGGAAGTAGAGGAACAGCATCCAAATGTGAATGGTCAGTAGAGTGGGAGCAAAAATAACTGGCAGTTTAGAATGCAAGATCATTCCAAGGGGAATAGATAATAGGATGACAGGCACGTCTTAAATATAGCAAAGCAACCCTTCTGATTTCAAGTCCCATTTGTATAAAGGAAAACCAGGAGAGAGAGGAGGGAGAGGGGGAGGGGAAGAGGGAGGGGAGAGAGGAGAGAGAGAGGAGAGAGAGGAGAGAGAGAGGAGGGAGAGAGAGAGAGGAGGAAGAGGGGGGAGGAAGGCAGGAACGTAAAACAGGATTAGGATTGATCGTTTGATGAAAATGTGACCAGAGACTTACAGGGACCTAATTTACATGAGAGAGAGAGAGAGAGAGAGAGAGAGAGAGAGAGAGAGAGAGAGACGGGATTTGGGTGGTGTCCAACCGAAGGGAGGAGCCCGCGGGAGCGAACTGTTTAAAAGGAGGTAAAACAGCAGGCGGAGCGCACTGACTGCCGGAGGCTGGAACCTGACCGAGCCGGCAGCAGGTAAGGCTGCAGAGCCTGGGCGTTGGGGTGGTGGACTGTGGGGCGCGCATGCGTTATGGGACTGGGGTGGGGGTGTCTACGAGGATTCACTGCTCTGGTGCGCCCCAGCTTTTCTCTCCCAAGCTTGGAGCTCCGGGGATATACTTTGTTTACCCCCAAGCAGGGCAGCTCCGGGCTTTCCCGAATCCTGGCACTCGGCTTTCTACGCAAGGTCCAGGCTCTCTGCATTCCCTCTGCACCTGACTCTTCTCGGGAGCCCTGCTACTCCGAGAAGGCAATTGCACCAGAGCAAGGTTTAACCCCAGCCTCCTGCAGGTCGCTGCCTTCTGTCTCTTCCCAGGGCTAAATTTGGAACTGCTCTCTCACGAATATTTTTGTTTCCTTGGCGGCGCCATCCTTCAGTCTGAGGGCGGGATGCACCAATATGGCTTTCAGTCTTGGGGAAGGTAATTCCATCCCCTTGGCCGGCTCTGAATTTCCTATAAAATGAGAATGTTAAGATTTTATTCAGTTAGTTAGAGACAGGGCCCCTCTCACTGTGTAGCCCTGGCTGACCTGGAACTAGCTATGTAGCTGGGGGCTTAACCTCTAATTCACAGAGTGCGTCTGTCTCCCAAATGCTGGAATTAAAGGTGTGCTGCCACTATGCCTTGCCCGGCTTATTTATTTATTTATTTATTTATTGGGTTTTTTGTTTTTTGTTTTTTATTTGAGACAGGGTCTTCTTGTAGCCCCAGCTGGTATGGAACCCCCTATGTAGACCAGGCTGGCCTGGAACTCTCAGAGATCTGCCTGTTTCTGCTTATTTATTTATTTATTTAGTGATGTGCTTAGCCTTAAAGTTTATCAGCCCCAAGATCCCTGGAGTAGTAACTGCACCCAGGGGCACCCATGAATCCTGGTCTGATGTTAAAATCCCTTAATCTGGCTGACGGTATGGCTCAGTGGTAGAGTGCTGTGTAACGCCCTAGGTTCCATCCACAGCCCTGCAAAATAAATGAGAAAGGAAGGGAGGGAGAAAGGATCTATTTTGTAGTGGTTTCCTCGGCCGCATTTATTTTGGAAGCTGGATTTACAATAAGTCTATTTATGGTCCAGAGCTCAGATTTATGTTTAATTTCTGTCCCAGCATTTTCTAGTCATGAAGTTACTATATTAAGGTTTGGGGGGTTTCTCTTTGTTTTTGTTTGGATTCAGGGTTTGGCTTTATTGACCAAGTAGGTCTATAATGATTGGGTTCATGTAATCTTCCCACCTCAACCACCCAGGTAGCTGGAATTTTAGGCACATGGCACCATACGTGGCTAATATTGGTTTTTTTATTGCTGCAAAACAAAAAACTTACCAGCTTAAGACACCACAAATTACGTTGTAGTTCTTTCATCTGTCTGGTGTCTGACAAGGTTCCACACTGGGCTAAAGTCAAGATGGAAGGCTCCATTCCTTTTTGGAAGCCACGCAGGGAGAAGGGTTCCATGTCCTTGCTCAGCTCGTTCTGGTATTGGCAGAGTGCAGCCTTTGTAACTGGAGAACCAAGGTCGGATTTCCTTGAGAGGTATTAGTTAAGGATCAGTCTTAGCTTCCAGAGGCTCCTTGTATGCCTTGGCCCATGGAACCCTTTCTGGCCTCAAAGTTAGCCATATTGAGGCAAGTTTGTCTTACTCTTCACATCTCCTGCCTTTTTTTCTGTTGTCACTTCTCTCTGACAGATTCTGCCCCCCACCCCTACCCTCAAGTACCCTGTGATTACACCAGGCCAGCTGAATCACCCACAATAAATCTCCATAACCATAACGTTCTGAAGTCACTGACTGCCAGATGCTGCCTGTATTCGCAGGTTCTTGGAATTAGGGTCTGGATGTCTTTATGAGAGACAGTATTCTGCCTACCACAGTTGCTGCTTTGTAAACCAGTTCTCTACTCTTATTCTTAAATTTCAAGAAGAGTACATTTTTTGTGGGTTACTATGTTATTATGGCCTAATACTAGCAATAGGCTCATAATATTTGCTCAATAAATAGAAGTTAACAAGCAATCAAGGACTTGCCTCACGGTTAGTATTTGGTAACACATTGCACCAAGTGATGTAGTCATATGGGCCCTGAAGAACAGAAGAAACTCCTAATTATTTAATGAATACCAACAGGTCATTTTACAGCCCTGCTGGGAGAGTCACTTTCAACCCCTGTGCCAGGTCAGTGTAAACCCAGCAGCTCTCAGCGTGGTCCCTAGGATCATCTGCAGTACTTGGGAACCAGCTAGCAATACATACTCTTGTTCTCTATACTAGACCTACTGCATCTAAGCTCTAGAGTGGAGTCCAGTGATCTACTCAACATCCACCACATGATCTGGATGCTTGATGAAATTGAGAACCAGTGTTCAAATCCTTTTTTTCTGTAGGCCAGTGCACCACACACCTGCTTACAGTGGGCTTATAAATTACTGCTGGAGGGAGGTAGGCATGGAGACCAATCTACTTCACAACAGTAAATAAAGTCACAGAAAATTCCTTAAGCACTCCATCATTAAATAATTGCTTTTTGCCTATTTTTTTTTTTTTCATATAAGTAAACATGGTTGGTTTTTAACTGGTATTTAGAAGACTGGGTGTTTTTGTTGTTATTGTTTATTTTTTGATGAACTGCAATATTTAGACTCACACTTCATTTTCTACCCAAATAGCCAAAGCGTGTGCTACCCAAACATTTTCAGCAATTTGATAAGGGATGCTTGTTGGATCTTTGTAGTTTCCCTTGACATCTTGTGAATGGCAACAAGTAGCTATCAGTATTAGATTTATTGTAGAAAGATTTTTTTACTACAACAGTCTTGTTTTTGCCTCTTCAAAAATTTTTAAATTACATTTGTTTATTTGTGGGTATGTACATACCACAGCACCTATATGGAGGCCAGAGGACAACTTGGCAGGAGTTAGTTCTTTCCTTTCACCATATGGACTCCAGGGATTGAACTCAGGTCCTCAGGGGCTTGGCAACAAGCACCCCTTTACCTGCTGAGCCATCCTGTTGGTAAGATGGCCTGTTTTTATCTCTTAACTGTCTTATAAAGGAATCTTTCTCACAGCATCTCTGCTCTGTGACCTCCATTGTCTAAACAATGGATGGGGAACATTTTGCCTTCCTTAGAGGAACGCTTTCTGATGTGCTGTCACTTTGCATAGTACTCCACATATGGCAAGGCAGGTAGGGATTGGCATTATTTAGGAAATCCAAAATGCAGAGTTGAGACTGTGGCTCAGTTGGCAGAATGCTTGCTTAGAAAATTCAGATGCATCCCTCATTAATCCTAATCCTGTTTTAGGAAAATATGTAGAATAACCTCTCTTCCTCTGCAGCCCTTGTAGTTATTGAAAAATAATTGTCTCAGATACACTTTTTCATACAGAACATCCCTGGTTCTTCAACATTTCTCCCGGCTTCAACAGCTGTTTTTCTGTCCTGATACATTGGAAGAAATTGAGAAACATGGCATCTTGACTAAAAATGTTATTTCAGGTCAGGTCTTCTAGAAATAAGTTTGGGGTTACAAAGAAAGATAGTGCCAACTCGAATTAAAGTTGCTGGATGAGGCAAAACTTTACTTATGATCAGAAGGTAAAGCAGGGAAGCATGCACACTGAGCAGGAAATTTGGTTGGTTTTAGTCTAACCCGAAGTGCAGTGTCTTTTCCTGGTTGGGATTTAACCTCACTGTTGGGTCAGAGGTTCAGGAATGATTGGAGACCCAGTAAAATACGAAATTTAGAAAATTTTTATTGAAAAGCATTCCAATTCTTGAACGACCAGTCAGGCACAGACCCCAGGAGCCAAAGAATGGAGTCCAGCCATTTTTATTGGGTACTCTTGGAAAAAGCCCATGCAAACTGGGCAACCTTTGAGTTGATTGGATAACTCTGAATTCCTTGTATGGGGGCAAATTTCATTGGTTATACTCATGGTCAGCTGCCTGGAATGTCTCAATTTTTCCTTTTACGGTAGGGTGCCCCTATCGGCCTCTGGATGCCCTTTTATGGTCAGGAATTTTGGTTGGTTTCTGTTAGACTCAGATAAGCAAGGCATGTCCAGGCTTGCCTAATCTTAGCCTGCAGTATGGGGCAAAGGAGACTTACAGTTTCTAGGAACAGAGACTTAAGACTGATAAGGTGGAGGCTGCTAAGAAATGGAGCTACTGTGACCTGGATCCTTCATTTCCCCCTTGAGTTGTAACATGGGTTAAATCTTTAAACTATAGCAAGCAAGCAATTATACAAAAGCTAGATGTTTTGCAGTTTCCTGGGCCACTGGGCTGTACTGAGTACAGAGCCGGGTCCCTATGAACCTGAGGAGGGCATTTATCAGGCATGTCCCACATGTAAGGGCAATCAAGAGTATTATCAGGGGCCCCACCAGTGCTGTAGTAAGTGTAGTTCATGATGGGGACCATGTGAATAAGGACTCATACCAGTTTTGTTGCTGGAGCCTAGCATCCTCCCATTCTTTTAGGCATCTGCGGACCTCGGCTAGAGACTGTCTGATTACACCTGAGTGGTTAACATAAAAGCAACATCCTTCACACAAAGCAGCACATAACCCCCCTTTTTCTAGTAGGAGGAGACCTAGACCCCTCCTGTTTTGCAAGGCAACTTCAGCTAATAAGGATACAGACTCCTCTAAATGTTTAATTAAGCTTTCCAAGCTACGGAGCTCTGTATCTATTGCTGTTCGGAGGGCTTGATAATTACGGTCCTATAAAATAAGAGCCAAGGCACTTCAGCAGAGACTCCTACTCTTAAAAGGGTGGAGAGAACTATATAACTCCTGTGGCTATTTCTCTGCGTGGCCGGGCCCATCTGGTGACCTAAGCCTCTAATTCTAGATCTGACCTTTAAGAAAAGGTGGGGGACTAGCTGTACTACCACACAGAAGTCCCCCGTTTGCTCAAGTACCGAGGAGTGAAGACAGGTGGCAATCCCTGAAGTACAAGCCCACGAGGTGTTAG